CTCTGACCAGTAGAGCTAAAAATTAATACTGATTAGACTACTAGTATCTAATGCATGCATCCTTGTTACATGTACAGGTACCTCTGTCTGACTTTTTAAAATTTTAGTTTGACATTTCTTTGATCTCTTTGACACATGCTTGCTGTCACTTATCTGAAGTCCAATACCGGTTCTTCTTCTTGCAGTCTAAAAATTATAATATTAAAGACTAAAAGTAAGGCAAGTGATGAATTATAATTTGAAAAATAAGATGTATACAAAAACATTTAATATACAATATAAGAAAATTAAAGGACAATATATACATGGTACATATACCTGATCAAATTCCTGATCATCTGGTTCAGTAATGTCTGTCTGTGAGCCAGATTCATTTGTTGTACACTGCACTTGTTCATGTTGTGTCTGCTGAGATTTCACAGCCTGTAAAAGGGTAAAAAAAATATGTAGAGCTTAAAATTGCCTTAATCAGCTTTGACGAATTTGATAATCAGGAGTACTGTAAGTTGATACAAATCAACATTTGGTGCATTTATTACACGTTCAACAATCACAGTTATATATAAACTTCATGGGGGGGCGGGGGCGGTGTTACAGTGATAATACGTATGCATACGAGGCAGAGCAAAGGTATAAATAATCGCATTGCAAATAATTATATTTACATTAAAGAATAAGCATTTAAACTTTCAAACTTACCCTTAAACATTCCATTTTAAGAAAAGCAGATCGCATTTTCTTTTGTTGCGAAGGACTCTATGATGTTGCTGCACACATAAATCTGAGGAAGATCTCTTCAGTGTTTCGGCGAAATGAATAGTGGGCACAGCATCGTGGGAAAAAAGTGACTTTCTTAACATCCATACGATAGACTTTTTTTATCATGTGTTCCATAGGGTACATGTAGCAGTGGTGAGTGAAATGTTTATCACAGAGAACAGAATGAGGGGTCGGACTCATGAAATCTTTCTGTATAGTTTTAACAAAACTAATCCACTGTCGTCGGATATCTGGTCTATTCTCACAAGGAAAATCGTGAAAGGACACATTAATCTATATGTCCTGATGTGCAAGCCGCGCTGCAACGAACGATTTTCCTCTTCTCTTCTTCGACATGATTATTCCGTGTAATTCGACAAGTCACACTTGTGACGTCACACACGTCACTTCCGGTATACAGCTAATTTCAGTGCGAACTAAGCTATTTTTAGAAATATCTCTAAACAGCGAGAGAGAGATAGCAGATGTGCGGTACATCATTTTACTCGTAATTTAAATGACTATCGAACTATGTTAAAATTTTAAAACCTACCAAGCCTTTCTTCAAATTTTGGAAGAGACAGCCTTATTCAACATAACCATGCACTTGGTTCAATTATTAAATACCCAAGAAGAATTTAAAAGAAATAATGCATTTTCAATATATGTAATCTATTTAGCCCCGCCTTAGCAGTAGAAGCTCTGACCCTGGGGCTATGAATTTCACAATTTGGTAGAGGACTCAATGCTGATTACAATCATACCAATAGTTTGTCTGCTTGAAGTCCAGGAGTAAAGAAGATTTTTATAGATTGCACTAATTTTAGTGGTTTTGGCCCCAATCCTCAGGCCCCAGGGGGCAGGGACCATGAAATTCACAATATTTGTTCCCTTTTAACCATAAATGCTATATGCCAAAATTGGTTGAGCGGTTTTAGAGAAGCTCAAATGTTAACGCACGGCGCCGGACAAAAACAGATAGCAATAAGTCACCTGAGTTTACTCAGGTGACCTAAAAATCTTTTGTTTTTGTTTTTTTTTTGGGGGGGGGGGGTTGACAGATACAATACAATACGGAGACAACAAGCAAACGAATTTCGATCATAAAGTAAATGAACGTATGGATTTGGCATCCTTTTTAACTACAGGTAGTTTTGCAGAGTTTATTTTAAACCTCTCAGAAGCTAATTATTACCTGTCTTTCAAACAACAGGCTCATCAATAGATATGACAGACAGAATGTTCTGTTTAAAACACATCAGGAACAAATACATAATGTTTTTTTTTTGAACTGAGAATGTGCAGGACATGACAAATCAAGTCAATTGTGTCATTAAAATCATGAATCTTGAGAAGGCAAATGCATGCAACAATTATTCGGACTCGGATTTCTCTTCAGACGATGATTAATTATGCATATTAATATTGAAGAAAAGTTCACAAATTTTTATTTCATTTTATTTTTCCCTTTAAATTCTCACAATAAAAAGAATATATTGAGAATACTATCATATTTTGTTTTAAAATGTATAAAAATGTATGTGGCCTGCGACCTCTCATACAGGGATAAAAATCACAAACAATTTCGGCCGGGGGGGGGGGGGGGTCCTGGGCACCCCACGAAGGCTTCCCCATCAACCCGCAAGGGGGCTAGGCGGCCCTCTTGACTCCGGCCTAGTAGAATTGGTTTGTAGACCTTTACGTTGAAATAGGGGGAAAACACTGGAGGTCACATAGAGACCCTCATCCCAGATAGCATGACTATGTTGGGCCAACATTTGTTACAGGTTGTATGGTTAGCGTTGGGGGAACAACGTTGGCCCAACGTTGGACCAATGTTACCAAGTCAACCTTCTCGACCATGACGGAATTCCTATGTTGGCCCATTGTTGGTCCAACGTAAGCAACTTCCATTCACTTTAGTTTCCAAAGAAGGAAGGATCATGGCATTGGCCCAACGTTGGACTAATGTTTATAATACACCCTTAAAGAAAGTGTATTTACAAGTTGGTAGTAGTTTGTTGTTCCAACGTTGGCCCATTGTTTGTAATACACCCTTAAAGAAAGTGCCTTATCAAGTTTGTAGTAGTATGTTGGCCCAACGTTGGCACAATGTTTGTAATACATCCTTAAAGAAAGTGCCTTATCAAGTTGGTAGTATTTTGTTGGCCCAACGTTGGCCCATTGTTTCTAATACACCCTTACAGAACGAGTCCTATCAAGTTGGTAGTAGTTTGTTGGCCCAACGTTGGCCCATTGTTTGTATTACACCATTAAAGAACGTGTCCTATCAAGTTGGTAGTAGTATGTTGGCCCACCGTTGGCCCATTGTTTGTAATGAACCCTTAAAGAACGTGTCCTATCAAGTTGGTAGTAGTATGTTGGCCCAACGTTGGCCCAATGTTTGTAATACACACAAGTGTTATTTTGTTTAGGTCTTTAAAGATGGGATATTTATATTGGACCAACGTTGACCCAATTATTATACTTCCAACTGATTGATGGTATTAATTTTATATTTAGCTGCTGAGCTTTACGTTGGGACAAGGTTGGCACATTCTGAAATAATTAAGAGGACTTTCTATGTCCATGCTTATCATTGGATGACTGCTTTTGTTTAGATATGATATTTTCAACATTTTAACTTTGCACTTAAGTGATCAAAGAGTGTTTTATTCTATTTTTTTGAATTGTGGATATGCTTATTTATTTGTAATAACCCAGATAGCAGAACACCGTTGGCCAAATCTTACATTATTGTTCTATTATCTATGTTGGGTTACCTTGATTGGGCCAACAATGGCCCAACATGGAATGTTGATAGCTGGTTATGTATAATAGTGCGCTAATGTTGGGCTTACTGTTTGCATTATATCATAAAACTATTATCATGAGAGAAAATATTTGCTTGGGGACTGCAACGGCCCTACGTTGGCCCAATATACCATAAATCAGACTGAGCATCATGGGTAGACAACAACCGGGCTACTTGTAATATCCGCGCCAGTTTTAATCTGACACGAGCGTAATGAGACTGATACCTTGCATATCTGCATCCACTTTTTAAGTATTATTTATATGTTTGCCTCGGCACAGCTGAATTAACGTTTAGTTTTTAAACGATATCATGTACAAATCTGTGTAAATCAGACACGGGGAAGTGCAGAGGCCAGGTGCTGTTGGGTCAACACTGTACAGATAGCATGCTAACATTGGGCCAACGTTGGGTCAATGTAATCGGTTACATCGGGCCAATGTTGGCAAATGGTATTGACCCAATTTAAGTTTGCTCATCGACCCTATGTTGGCCCGATATGTTGGGCCAACGTTGGCCCAATGTAGAGTGTTATTTCTACAGATATTGGCCCAACGTCGCGCCAATATTGGCTCAATGAATGCGACATTGTTGGCGAAACGTCAACAAGAACATTGGGCCGATGTTTGCAAATGCCGTTGGTCCAGTGTCATTTTGCTCCTTGGTCCAATGATGGCCCGATATATTGGACCAACATTGGGCCAATGTGTATAAATATTTAATTGTTACAAATCTGTATATTAAAAAATCTGATCGTCTCTACAATCAGAAATAAATATACAACCAATCTTACTTGAAAAATCAAGCTAGCTAAAATAAATTTAAGATTCTTATTATTTATCGAAACAAAATAAATTATCAGTGATTAAATTTTGTGTTTATATACAAGAAAAATAAATGAAAGTATAAAAATGAGTTTTGATACAGTTAAAACAATTAATAATTTGCTCCTTATTTAATTTGAAATTTGTGTCTAGTAGAATACATTTCCGAAGTCTACCACTTAATTTACTTATATACACTTAACGTCGAGAACATGGTCAAAACATTTTGACAATGTTGAATTTGCTGAAGTTAAAACAAAATTTATTCATTACTAAAAATAAATTGGGTTCTTTCATTTAAAATTTGTTCAGTGTAACGACAAATTTTCAATACATGTATTTTATATGGGGCAACATTGAATCAAAATTGTTTTGATGATGATTATCAAGCGTATAAATATGCATAAATGCCTTCATCGCGCAAGCTAATCACTTAATCACACCATGAAACAAAAAAGACGGTTATTCCTTAATTGACAGCTTAAAAATATAGTGATATACTTGTAAATTTAATCGTATGTTTACTCTTTACTGAGAAAAGTAACAAATGTATTAAGTACCAAATATTACAATTTTAGTGCTACTGGAGATTCTAAAAAGACATGGAGAACACAATCAAAGAATGGCTAAGGTATGCCAAGGACAGGGATGAGGGAGGAAGAAACGGACACAGATCTAGAAGAAAAGAAGGGGGAGGAGGAGACTCGGGAAGAGGAAATGGAGCCTTAGGAGAGGGATCAGATGGAAAGTGGCAGTGCTTAACTTTTTTCTGTGATATAGTGTGACATACCTGTAGTTCTACCCTTTTTTGTGTCTGTTTGTCGGTTATAAACACGATGCAGATGCCAGAAACATTTTTTTGTGTAAGTAAACAAAATGACGGTATTCATTTTAGTATTATTTTAAGAACATGAGGGCTATGTTTATTTGTTAGACGTGCTTATTGACACCTGTAATTTACTGAACTTGTGCATAATTTACATCAGAGAGGGAGTATACAGTCATGTAACCCTACATGTATCGCTTGAAGTGAGCATCAACTTTTAATTCTTTATTAATGTTTTCTTCATGCACTGAGTAATAAAATTATGGTATGTTATAATTTAATTTTATATTTTGATTTCTTTTTCCTCAGTTTTTTAATTAATGTAGAGCTACTTACAAGGCAATACTTGTTGATGGCAATTCTATGAGAATATTGAGAATATGTATTAAACTATTAATCTAGCATATATAGCATATATAGATAATATTAAAGGGCTTTTACCATTAAACTGTACTACAAAACTAGTATAACCTTATTGTATATATTTGTTTGTCAATTTTGAGGACAAATGGCCAACCAGTGAAGAGCAAATGAGTTGTCATGATGGAGAGCCAATAAGATACAAACCAACGTTGGCTCAAAAATGATGTTTTCCTAATATTGAAAGAATAAGTGGCCCAACAATGGCTCAATGATATCCGTTCGTTGGTCCAACAATAAGCCAACAAGTTGGTCTGATTAAGGGCCGATGAGCAAAATACCGATGGCCCAACATTAATTGCTTACAATGGCCCAACTGTACAAAAATGACGTTTGCCCAACATTGAAAAAATACATTGGCCCAACAGTGGCCCAATATTAACTGTTACATTGGCCCAACAATAAGCCAATGAGTTGGTTTGATTAAGGGCCGATGAGCAAATTACCGTTGGCCCAATATTAGTTGCTTACAATGACCCAATTGTACAAAAATGACGTTTGCCCAATATTGAAATAATACATTGGCCCAACAGTGGCCCAATATTAACTGTTACATTGGCCCAACAATAAGCCAACAAGTTGGTTTGATTAAGGGCCGATGAGCAAATTACCGATGGCCCAATGTTGAGTTCAAAAAGTGGCCCAACATAAGGAGCGTTGTTGGCCCAACAAAGGTCCAATAACATCCTGCTATCTGGGATGATCTGTTGCAGAATGCTCTCTCAGCTGGTCGCTCTGGTAATAATGAAAATAAGGATACTGGTAAGGATGAAAATTGGAACTCAATCAAAAACAGATGGCCTCCACCAAATGGCGCTGCTCCCTCACCTCTAGAAGATAATTATCCACTATTCAAAATTCAAATGGATATCAGTAGTTCACATGAATCTCAATTAGAAAATCATTTACTATCCTCAAACCGCTTCAAATACACTGTTGTTCAGATTATTCTTTAAAACCTAAAAAATTCAATGCTGCAGGGGAAAAAATGTAGAATGGAATTTCCGAAACAGATGCAATCTTTCCCTGCTTTAGTAAAAGACAGGAATGGATCTTTGCGACTGGAGATGGAGAGAGATCATCCAGTTCTTGTGCAGCATATTTAAGAAAACTGGAGAGACAATGGTAACATTTCTTTGATTCTTTGAAAGAGTAATCAGTTCGTCGGACGGACGGGTTTTCGAAAAAGAGTACGCTGATTGGGGGCCGTCGGAAAAACCAAAAAACTTTCAAAATCGTTCATAAAGTAAATTTATTTAGCCGAAATATTGCCGACTCGGCGTTAAAAAAAGAAAAAAAAAACAACAACAACAAAAAACAATCAACCAATCAATCAAAGAGCAATCGATCTTAGTCCATCTTTTGACGATATTTTTGCCACTGAAAAATACATCAAAAGGTATCCTTGCAAAGGTTACGAATAAACTGATGCTCTTTCTGATCTTCTTTCTGACTTGGTTAATAATTCTGATGAATCATCGGGATACACACCAAAATCACTGTACAAAACTTTTTACGAATAATATTAGGAGAAACATTTCTGTGCAAACATCCTTTGAGCTTTCCTCATTACCCCTGTTCCGTTCTAGTCAGTCTTTTCAATATATGAGTTTATCAAATACTATTAATGATTATTATCTTTCTAGACATGAAAATGACCTTTCTTCTGTCTATTAATTAAATTGGGGAAAAATCCTGGAATAAATGGTCCAACTCAAACTTCTTGGACTTGATAGGAAAGTTCTGCAAAACAATTCTTATTTTACATTTTCCACACTGGAGAACCTTTTCAGGCATAATAGACAACGAGACAAATTGGGTAAAAAAGATTGACCTTTTTTAGAGTCAAAGAATTATCCTAATTCTATTAAAGCAAAAAACAACCCTACAATTTCTGACAAGATGAAGATTCTCAAAATGTCAATGTGCTAGAAACGAGATGGATGGATTTCTTAGTCCTAATGGGTGGTTTACATCGATATCAAGTTTCAAGGATGATTCAGAGAGCAAAACTGGAGCTTACATCAAACTTTGTACCCCATTTCCTCGGATTTGGTGCAATTAGTAGAGAAGATGTACTTAACTTACTTCTGATGTTGCTGTGTCTATGTTTAGCAATTTCTAGTCCGATTCAGCTATTCTGATACTCGACGGAACATATATTTATATACAACCAGAAGTATCTGTCGAGACTGAAACTCTACTGGTTTTTACTTATAGCAAAGAATGAGAAAAGTAGCACTTTGGAATTGAAACTTTACAACAGCAATGAATAGAATAATGATCCTTGATTAAGTCTCTTTATGTTCTTAGTGTAGTATACTTGCATGCCACTTTATATTATAATTTCTATTTTTAGTAACCATGGCAACACCGTTCATCGAAATCAAAAACCGATAAAGAGAATAAAGTATCTTAGTGTAGTCTACCTGTGTGCCAATTTATATTGAAATCAGACCAAACCTGTAGGCAACACCGTTCACTGAAATCAAAAACCAATACACAGAATTTTGTAACTTAATTAATGTAGATTACTTGTATACCAATGTATATTGAAATCAGACCAAAAACTGTAGGAGGAGGAGCATTTTGAAACAATTTCACAGAAATTTCTATATTTGGTAACCATAGCAACATCGTTCACCAAAATTAAAAAACCGATAGACAGAATTATGTATCTCAGTGTAGTCTACTTGTGTGCCAATTACATTGAAATCAGTCCAAAACTGTAGGGAAGTAGCATTTTGAAAGAATTTCACAGAAAGAGGGACGTTAAACATGTTAAAGATAGATAGTACAATATATTTTGTTTAATGTCCCTCTCAGGAATTTTTTCTCATATGAAGGCTTGACAGTAGAGAGCTGCACATTCTCTCATATAATAGGAACTTTCACTAATGATCATTGAGCAGTGAGGGGTCTTTTTGTGCCAGCATCTATTGGGACATGGGCCCGTGGTTTACACGGTCTCATTCGAAGGACCAGTCTCCACGTCCCACAAAAGGATTCAAACCCGCAACATTACAATCAACTCCCTTACTTTTGACAAAATTATTGTGTTGATCCATATTTTTTATTTTTACAAAAAAACAAAGTGCATAGCGTCTTGGTCAAGGGGGCATAATAGGGATACCTAATTTGGGTTATTAAAGTTTAATATAAGATATTAACTTGTTTTTTCAGCACTATTTATTTTTTCAACAAAATTATCGGGGTGGAGGATGTCCATTTTTAACAAAAATCAAATTGCATAGCATTTCAGTGGGGGGGGGGGGGGATAATATGCATACGTAATTGGGCAGTTTCCCTTATACCTAGCAGAAACATATCACGTATGCTATATGTATAAGTTTCAGTAATTTTAATTATTTACCTACCTACAATGTAAGTATTTCTCACAGTTCCAGGCAATATGCATTTTTTTGTAATGAAAAATAACAATGTACATGTACATCGAGAGGTTAATTGAACTTGTGGATTGTATTACAGCTTTCGGGAAAAACGTGCACCCCAAATTCCTAGACACCTGTTGGCATCAAATTCTTTTAATCCGTTTCCCGCAGAATCGACACGACTTTAAAACTGGCTCTTAAACTGGTTCCCTAGCGGAAATGATTATTGTCAACTCGTACATAAAATGTCAGGGTTTCGAGACAGTGAAAACGCGATATCTGAAGAAATATTTCAACAATGAACTTGAAAATGAATAGGCTTTATTTTTTTATACTGTCACACAAGTATGTAAACGCTGAGAGTGGTTAATGCAAAGGTTCTCTGTCAATCTTGCCCACAAATGTTTATTGTCAACTCGTACATAAAATGTCAGGGTTTCGAGGCAGTAAAAATGCGATATCTGAAGAAATATTTCATCAATGAACTTGAAAATGAATAGGCTTCGTCCTTTTATACTGCCACACAAGTATGTAAACGCTGAGAATGGTTAATGCAAAGGTTTTCTGTCAATCTTGCCCACAAGGTGTAATGAACACACTAACACACATACGCACAGTCGCGATGCTATATCCCCTCCGCAACTAGTTGCGCGAGGGGATAATAACCATGGCAACACCGTTCATCGAAATCAAAAACCGATACACAGAATTGTGTATCTTATAGTGAAGTCTACTTGTGTGCCAAGTTATATTGAAATCAAACCAAAACTGTAGGAGGAGTACATGTAGCATTTTAAAAGAATTTCACTAAAATTTATTTTTTTAGTAACCATGGCAACAATGTTATCGAAATCAAAAACTGATGCACTGCTTTACGTATCTAAGTGTAGTCTACTTGTGTGCCACGTTATATTGAAATCAGACCAAAACTGTAGGAGGAGTAGCGTTTTAAGGATTTAGATGTGTAATACCCCACTTCCGGTAAAAGTTAACGATGTAAGCCGATGTTTCCCGAGGTGGTAATTCTCGGAAAACCGTACGAGTTATGTTTCTTTGCACGAGTTATCTATCGTTGCTAACCGGAAGTTGATAAAGAAGGGGGAATGGCGCGTAGGGACGAGAAAGGAAGGTTTTTTGGTGTTAAAAAGAAAAAAAAACAATCACCGTTCCTTCAAGAAGAAAGAAACCAACATATGAACGCCGAGCAGGGCAAAAAATTGAGGAGGTAGCCAAGCAGTCTATGGATAGAGCTGCCAAAGAAACATATAAACTAGAAATGAGGTAAGTTTAATCTATTTTACACTTATCTATATGCATGTGAGAAATATGCTACAGCCTACAGACTCCTACAGTTAGAATGTGTTTTATTGTTTAAAGGGATGCCGCACATGAGGAAATGACTGCCGCTACCGTGGAGATGGGAGAAGTCATCGATGACTTGGGCGTTGGGCTCATGCCTGATGCTTCGCCATCCTTACGGTTTGTTTGATTCAGAGCCTTTATTTGTTTGATGCGAATTATATATGTTTAGGTTGTTTCCATGAACTGTAAACAAAATAATTTTTTTTTTAATTTGTTATATACTGTATTGTGCTGTAACTCATGCTAAACCAATCTGTTTTGAAATCTTAAACATAAATAATATTGTAGTTCAAGAATTGCTACATTTCCCCATGAGCCTGATTCACCCAACACAGATAACCAGGACCAGAGTGCCGATAGTGATATGAACAGAGAGAGAGTAATTCCTTATTCGAATTTCAGACCACTGCTGCATCTACTGCTTGGTAAATAAATAAATATGAATTTAGTAATAATTTTCCTAATAAAATTGTGTTCGAATTTTGTATAATTATTTGTTTTTATTTATAATTTACTAAGTTTATATATAAGTATGAAAAAAAAAAATACAGCACACCATTAAATCAGCAAAAAGTCTACAAGGCGCTGAAGAAAACAGGCACTCGACAAGTCAAGAACCGGTATGTGAAAAGAAATATTGCTACATTTCCCTATGAGCCTGATGCATCCAACACAGAAAACCAGGACCAGATTGCCGATAGTGATTCGAACAGAGAGTGTAGTTCCTTATTCAAATTTCAGACCACTACTGCATCTACTGCTTGGTAAATAAATAAATATAAAATTAACAGTGAAGTGCAGCAATGAATTAATTTTCATGAGCGAATTGATGATTGTTTTTATTTAAGATTAGTGTTTCCAAATAATCATTGATATTTGCATATACTGCATTGTGTTGTTACTCATGCTAAACCAATCTGTTCTGAAATCTTAAATGTGATAAATAATATTGTAGTTCAAGCATTGCTACATTCCCCCATGAGCCTGATGCATCCAACAGGACCAGCGTGCCGATAGTGATATGAACAGAGAGAGTAATTCCTTATTCAAATTTCAGACCATTGCTGCATCTACTTCTTGGTAAATAATTAAATATAAACAGTGTAGTGTGGCAATGAATTAATTATGTATTGTTCTTCAATTTTGTCTGAAATATGCAAATTTAGTAATAATTTTCCTAATAAATAAAAAATGTTTTCGAATTTTGCATAATTATTAGTTTTTATTTTTAATTTACATTGCCCACTTAGTTTATATATAAGTATGAAAAAAAAAGTACAGCATACCTTTAAATCAGCAGAAAGTCTACAAGGCGCTGAAGAAAACAGGCAGTCGACAAGTAATGAACCAGTATGTGAAAAGAAATATTGCATCAGCCTTTCCTTGTCGCACAAGAAGTGGCATGTCTCTGGCAGTTGATACAGCCTGGCATAAGCGTGGATTTGATAGTCTTACATGTAATTATCAAAATATGTTTCCCTTAAGGATGAATTCTGCTGATCATTTTACCCCAAGTGGGTCTTCGTACTTAAAATGTCGTAAAATTCAAACTGATAACAATTTACAAACAAGTTTTTAAAGCTTTTAAGATTTACATGTTTAACTATATTTATTTTTAAATGAAAAATCTTTCTATGTTGTATTAATGACCAAGACGTGTGCAAAAATACGATATTTACGACATAGGTCTAAGAAAGTCGACAAGTGAAATCGACATGATCGAGAGGTGAAGAAGACGGGATGCGCCTTTCAAAGCGACTGGAATGCTGAATGGCACTTCGTTTAAAGAGCCAACCGACAGAAATTTTAAAACATTTAAAAAAATTGCCGATATCACAATTAGGCCTACAGGTACATTCTTTAAAGCGGTCCCCAAACATGCCAGCCAAGAGCGCCGTTCTCGAAGTGTGTTGACGACATTCCAGTAATCCGAGATTCCTCTGACTCTAAACCCCACTTTTATATTGTGACTTGTGCGGGGGAGAGTCAGAGCGGACGCCATATTGAAAACTGGGAATCTGGCGAAACCACCTGGTATCGCTACTCTGCCTACCTTTTACAACTTTATTTCGCGGAGCTAACTCCCGAGACGCGAGAAATCAGTAAAACAATTATTCACCTACTTGTTAATCGTCATAAATATGATGCTTTCGCCGTTTAAACGACCCTATTACCGAAAAATGAAGCATCACTTGAATTTGGTCGCCTCCTCGACATTCGACTTCTTTGCGCATGACGTCACACACAAATAAACTATCACGTGAAAATATCATGTGTGGTGTTTTAAACCTCATATTAGCATAAAAGTCGTTTTTGACAGTTGCTTTCCTTATCAATAAATAAATAAAACATCATTATGTTATTTTATATGTATTTTCACAACACTTTCATATTTTTCCGAAAGCCCCACACGTGGTTTGAGCACGTGTTACTTTCAAACTGACTGGAATTTTGTGTATTTGTGTGCTGACGTCATGCGCAAAGCAGTTGAATGGTGAGGAGGCGACCTAGTTCAAGTGATGCTTCATTTGTCGGTGATAGGGCTGTTTAAACGGTGGAAGCATCCTTTTAATGACAATTAACAAGTAGGAAGATAATTATTTTACTGATTTCTAGCGTCTCGGGAGTTAGCTCCGCGAAATAAAGTTGTAAAAGGTAGGCAGAGTAGCGATACCAGGTGGTTTCGCCAGATTCCCAGTTTTCAATATGGCGTCCGCTCTGACTCTCCCCTGCACAAGTCACAATATAAAATCAGGAGTTAGAGTCAGAGGAATCTCGGATTAACATTCCAGTAGCAGTGGAAAAGCGAAAATGTAGGTTTACAATGATTCAAACTTATTGAAAATAGCAATGTTTATGCATTATAGATACAAAAGTTTCAAAATACATATATACCGTCACATTGCAAACTGAAACATATAAACATGTTACATACATGTACAGAACATTAGGCCTAAGGGGTCCTCAGATGCGTGCAGACGACAGCATTCGTTTTATCTTTTTTTATTACAACTTAAGCTCGTAGTAAATGATAAATTTCCTTTGATATTGTAAATGCTGAATACCTATATCAAATTTATTGACATACCGTACGAAAATAGTAAGATAACATCCTATATTTTTTTAGCTGTTTACATTCGCTAAGAAACTAGGTCACTTCATTCTATGGCGGCCTATGCTGGTTAAAAAATGGAATATTTCTGAAACATCAAAGAACATGTAGAAATTATTTGATTCGAAACTACAGGCTTGGGTTCATAAAAACAAACAGATAGACAAAATAATGATTTTACATTTTTTGAACAATGGTATTACCAGTAATTATAATCTATTTTTTTTTTCTAAAATAATTTTTTTCAGGTAAGTCTTGTTGTCACAAGAATCACAAATGAAGAACTTAAGAAGAGAGCAGGATTCTAGAACCACTAAAATCAGATGGAGAAAACCATGCAAATCAGATTGAGAAAGTGGGACTAGATGACTAATCCCAGGGAAACCACCATCCAAAACCACAAACCAGGACCCAATCCGGAACCCCAGGGCAAGAGAAAGAGAGGACATCTAACAAACTATTATGAAGTTTTATGTGTTAATTGATTACTTTTTGTTCATAAAAAGCTTTTCTTAACAAGATTGTAATCATTACCTGAAATTATCCACTAATTTTGAATATTTGGTGAATAAAAACACATTCTTTTCACGCCTAAATGCCTTGATTTATTTTCATGAAATGCTCAAAAGAAATAGGGGGTGGTGATATAAAAAATATCAAAACTTTCTTATATGTGCACTAACCCCTATTTTTCATGCTTTGAAAAGGAGCCATAATACCTAAAGAAAGTGTATAACAATTTTCTTAAAAAGTTTAATTGTAGAAATATGTTTTTCTTTGGTTTTTCGAGCAATTTTATAGGGAAAAATTTGCCTAAGTTTGACACTGGTGAACATTTTTTGGCACAATTTATTTAATTGGTATTTATTGGCTCAGATTTTGCTTTAATAATTAACTTTGCAATACTTTCAAGTAAATCTAAGCAAAATTAAGTTTAAAATTGATTGTATTTATAAGTTTATGGGGTATTTTATGGTCTATTAGCATTTTTAATGAAATTTCCCATGCTCTATTTTGGCCTATTCGAAGGGTTGAATCTCTCTTAGATGAACGCTAACATACACTTTTCTTGTCTTTAAATTATTCCTTGGATATTACACACTTTCACAAAAATATAAGCATGTGAAAAGTTTAATGCACGTTTTATTTTTCGGGTATGAGAAGAATACATCCTTAAACAGTGAAAATAGATAGATAATGAAAATTCTAAAAATTTAAAGTACTAATATTTTATCCTTTATTTTTATGTCATTTTATTAGGAGATATATAAAATAATTAATACTTTTCACATCGTAGCTCACACTTTTTTCATGGGAAAATCTTGTTATGGGAAAAAGGTAGTGAAAGCCATTGTTAAACATCGAGTATGTGGAACTTGCAAATGGTGGTCCAGAAATCGTCAAAATGCACCTGTTCGGCCGCACATATGTGTAAAAAATCACCAAGGGAGTGCACGTACATGTATGATGGAAAGTACAGGTGGACTTCAAGGGGTGAAAGAACTGAATGAAAGTGGTACTCCAGTTGAATATTTGGAAGGTGATGGTGACAATACAAGATGCAAGGCTTAAGAGTGATTTGAATATCTCCATGAAAAAAAGATTTGACACGAACCACATTGTCAAAAACATTCAAGTGGTAAAAGCATGTTTGCCTTGCAGAAAAAAAACTTAGTAGATCAGTAATAATGCACATTCAAAAATGTTTAAAGTACACCTTTGCCAAAAATCAAGGAAACAGAGATGGTATGGAGGAGAATTTGAAAGCACTAATCCCCCATCAATTTGGTGATCATTCGAACTGTAAACCCCACTTTTGTGGCTACGGGTTACAGTTAGTTTGAGTTGCCTGGTGTTTTTAACATTACAGTCCATTCCAAGAAAAACCCTGTTGTTCAGTTTCTTAGAGTGAGTTGAGTTTATCTAAGAAAAGCAAAATTAGTCCGTTTCATTAATTACTCGAATGAATTTAATAGGCACATACAAAAGCTGGAATATCTTCTGGAAGATATACAGAAGCATATGCGGAGAAGCAGCTGAAACACCGACGCTACGCACAGGAGAAAGCAAAGCTACCATCCCAGAAAAGGAGGAGACTTGTCCTTAAGCAGGAGAGGGCAGTGACAAAAAGGGGCTATGGAACTTTGGAGGGAGTTTCTTACCAAGCTGGTCAGTTATCAGCTTTAATATTTTTACGCTATTTTCATGCTATCATGAACATTAAACATGATGAGGGCATATATTAAAATTTAGTTTTTCAAAGGATATAAATATATTTTCATGTGAATTC